ACTGGAAACTAGACAGGGCAATAGAAAAGAACTTGTCCCACACCTGGAGTGGTGAGCAGCAAACAGCTTCCAGACATGAATCAGTGCTGGGAATCAGAAATCATTTGAATAGAGACAGTAGCATGATGAAACCTGACAACTTCCAGGGAAATGGTGTACAAATTTTTTCACTTGTGTTCACATACATCTGGTTGTGGTCTTTTGCAATCCTCATGGCTGAATCTCAGTTCTAATACACATGAAATTAATCAAGCTTCTGCACTGAACTTATATTGACTACATTCAAATTCAATCTCATGCCTTCTATACCAGAGTATAACACCACAGAGCTAAGCCTGTAATTCCTCTGGAATTGCTTCACTGCATGTCAATTTGCAATGAAATCTTGTATTAACTCTTTGGTATTTCAGGGTCATTGATTTTTTGTGTAGAAGATTTTTCAAACCAGGCTAAAAGCAAAATTTTTGTTTATGTCATCTATACTCCCAGCACCTTTTCCAGAGACCTATACAAGTCTATGAGGCTCAGCACATGTCAAGTTCTGCAGTGTCTGTCCTGTCTTTCAAACCCTGTTCTCCACAATCACCAAAGCCCAAACTCACCATGCTGTCCCAGCATGTACAGACCCTTGCAGATCATTAGGGTGAGTCAGGAGGAGCTGCAGACATCGGCTGCTCTTCAGTTTGAGTTACAGTCAGTGTGGACAGGCTGAGCCCAGCATGCCTCCCATGCTGTCACAGCTTCTCTGCCTGTCTTTGCAGCACTACTACAAGCTCACTGTGTTTTAGGTGGGACTCTGCAGCTCATTCACAGGGTTCTGCTGCAGGATTACAGGCAGTCTGAGGTTGCCTTCGTGCAAATGCTAAGTTGGGGGGCTCCTACACTGAGTAATATGATTTTGTCAAGCCAGAATGTATACAGTATTCTAGTTTACATCTTGTTTCAGTCATTTCAAGTATTGAGACAGACATACAAATGGTTGGGGATAACCGACTATAAAAAGTGAATTCATGAATGAAAGATGACTGTGGGAGGTTATGTAACTTTTCCTACCTAAGAAGGTTTCAAACCACGCTGCAGTGAAATGCAGCTGACTGACCTCTGGCCCTCTTCCCTTCCCCATGTCCTATACATTGCTTCTGGAAGACAGAATGACTGCATACAACTAAAGGTTATGACGTCTGTTTAAATGGAGTAAATTCAATTATTACGTAGACATTTTTGAGAGATCAACATGTCTGCTAGCTGGAGGAAAAAGACTGCTTGTCATTGACCAAAGGACAAGACAAATCTAAGAATTGAGGGTGTCTGAAGGTCACACAGGTAGGTTACACTTACAGGAAAGCCATTTCCCTTGTGGTTTGTTACTCAAGATTATTATTGTAAAAACTTATCTCTATAATTGCATCTTTTCCCACCAGATGTCCCAATTAAACTGTTGTAAATACAAAGTAATTAGAGAAACAAAGCAAAGCAATTCTAGACACTGTGAGAAGATGGTAAATCCACAAGTTGAGATGTGTTAAGTTTGATTGCTTAACTATTAGTGACATAGATGTGCTAGTTGTCATCACATTGTTTGTGCTGAATCTGAATATCTAATCCCTTCCTCGGGCCTTTCCTTCCCTAAAGCAGTGGGATCTTGCTGAGAAGTATCTCAATGCAGCTTGATCCAGCCAAACAGGAGAGAAGAGCCGGCTTGTCTTTCTCCTGAGACGAGCTGACGCAATGCCGAGGGGCCCTGGCATGACCCTGGTGCCCAGGCAGGAACGACTGGAGGGTTTTACCATCACACAGCCTGCAAAAATGATACACAGCCCTGTATCACAGGTGCCAAGGTACTCCTTTGCAGAGAGCCCCCTTGGGCAAAATCTGTGGAAATGATCTGCATAAGCCAGGAAGATTCTGAATCAGACTGTGCCTCACAGGACTTAGCTTCAGAAATTGCAATGCAAAAAAATTTTTACTCTGTAAAGATATTTGCTGTGTTTGATTTTATTTTTAGTTAGTCAAATTGAATAACCAGATAACAGAACAAAACCAATCATGTGTCCTGCAGATCCTACAAAACAGGTCTATCCTGTTTGGTAGGACATTTTAAATATAATATTGCATAATCCACAAGTGACCCAAACAAAACATTTCTCAAGAATTTTTGGCAATAATTTTTTGCTTGATATTCACCATAGTGGGTAGAAAACAGCCAACATCTAATCACCCATACTTGCTCACTTCCCATGCACAGTGGAAGAGATTAGGAAGTGCAGATAGTTTAATAAATGAAAGGATGGGGTGGAGGTGGAGGGAAGTGTTGCACAGGCTCACCACCTGCTGCAAACAGATTGATGTCCAACCAGCCTCCAGGCAATAACCACCTTGGAAGACAGCCCTCACTCCACCTTCTTCTTCTGCTAGCCCAGTTTTACTGATGAACATGACATTATATCATATGGAATATTTCTTTGGAGAACTCAGGTGAATTATCCTGGATGTGTCCCTTCCCAGACACTTTTCCACCCAACCTCTTCCATACAGTGTGAGAGCTAAGTGTGAGCAGAGAAAGTCTTCACATTGTGGGAACACTCTTCACCAATACCCAGAGCATTGAGGGTAGAGCACCGTACATGCTGCTAAGAATAAATTTAATCTATCCCAGATAGATCCATAACACTCACAAAGATGTTTGAGCAGTTCTCGACTTGTATGAACTCTTGTCTGCATTCACACTGGGCAGAATTCAGCTGAGTCTTCTGCCCAAGTCAAATGACCAAGACAGTGATCATTCACTACTGAATCATTCATTTCTACTTCACTTTTTCATCCTAGTCATGCTCAAAGAAAACTCTGGTATTACTTTGTATGGAAGTATTTTTCTGTAGAACTCAAAACGTCTGGTGTCTTTCAATGAGTTCCACATAGTTTTATGCAGCATTCTTATCAGAACAGGGTTACTCTCCTCATGTCAATGTTGTAAGTTTTAACAGAATTTACAGCAACTTCTATTAATAAATATCTCTAAAGTGTTACTTCGGATCTTGACCTTTGTTTACACAGGTTATACTCTCCAACACAGACACAGGTTCTCTGCTAAATACGAGTCACATGACTACGTCATGTGAAATTATTTTTCCTGACCCATAATATTTTTTATTATTCAAGACCAAGACAAAGCAATAAAGTCTGCAAAATTCACACAGCTAAATCTAAAAAACCAGAGTCTGTTCCTTTTTGATATTGATCTTATCAGAATTTGATTTTTTTCATGCTGATTTTGAGCCGAAAGTAATGAAAATTCTTTTCACTGAATTTTTAAAATTTCTATTCAAGCCTCAAGTTCTTCAAAATCTTCTCACGTTTTTTGAAAAAACAATACCAGAGATGGCAAGCTTCCCGCAGAAAATTAAATACAGCATAGTTTGTCCTTTTTCATCAGGATCTTGTGTTTAAACTCTTCTTTTTAGTTTGCTCATAGCCCAGTCAAAGATATATGTAAGTTGCTCAACAGTCCATCAGCTGTGAAGCCCTCAGATTCCTCTTGTGTCTATGAGGAAATAACCAGTCCCACACAGTGGAGTCATGGAGTTCAAAGTGTTTTAAACACATCCTCATCTCCTGCAACCCAGAACCTGGTCCAGATCCAACTTTATTACCACAGTCAGACATAAAGGCAGCTGTTGAGGAAGAAGGAGGTGAACCTACTCCTAGCAATAAAATGTTTAGATTTTTTAAATCAAGCCTTAACATTTGGACATGGATTGATTTTCTGTAAGGTACAAAAACATACAGAAATGATCATGTGTTGGTAACTAGGCTGTTTTCAATAGTAGGTGACAGCATCATTCCTTTAGTAGCTGTTTCAGACATTGCTGTGCACTGTAGTGCTCTCCTGCATAATTCAGCTGTGTGAGGTACAGATCATCTTTCTCTGAAATGAAATTCTTTCTGATCACATCAGTCAGAAGTATACTGGATACAAGCTAATAACCCACAAACACTTCCATACACATTCAGCTATAACCATAAAGAGCTCTCCTAGTATGAGAAATATCAACCATCTTTTCCTATTTATGCACATTTCCTTTCAGATTAGAGGTAATACAGTCACAAAACTGCACACCCTGAGATAAAAATCATAAATCAGTCCATGGACTGGTGCTTCTAGGCCTCAAAAACTATCCAGTGGAATTTAGCAGAGTGAAGCTGGGACCAGTGTTGGCATCGAGGGGCCAGGGAGGTTACAGCAGCCCAGCTCTGTCAGCTGCTTCATGCAGCTTTCTCAGGTTGCACTGGTACAGCAGAAGGTCTAAGATAGCTCCATATTTGTTAGGGAAAGCTCCTCTCCCCTGAGAGCTTTCACCTACTCTTATAAGCTATATTCTCTAAAAAGTTCTCAAATGTGAAGAGATTCTTCTGATAGGTCATTCCATTTGGAAGGAAGGGGACAAAGGCACCTGATGTCCTCCTAGCTCTAGCGGGTGCTTTTAAAGAGCTGTCTCCTGAACTGCAGGAACCACAGAAAGTTTACTGAACTGGGCAGTGCTGTATGGCAGTGGTTTCAGTGAGACACTGCTCGCACCCATCTCCTCTCTGCCTCTGCATCGACTGATACAGGCAGGCAGCCAAAGGGCTCTTGCAAAATGCCTTTGTGTATGAGGAACATGGGAAAAGCACAGGGTGAAGTGATTACACAGTAACTGTACCGATAAAGTTACAGAAAGTGAATTTCCCTATGACCCTGTGGTTTCACTACTGGGACAGTATAAAAAGAGAGAGACAAACCTGGCTGCTAGCTGTGACGTGACATCAACAGGGAAGTTACAGGAAAGATTTGTTTAACATGATTTCATTTACTTCTTAAAGCATTGATGACATTACACTAACAAAACCAAAAAGTGAGTCACATACGTAATTGCTGATTGGACTATCAAGATCCATATAAGGGTTTTAGCTCTGGTCTTGGGAGAAAGAAAGTCAAACTCTTTCTGCTCCAGCAAGGCACCATGCACTACCTCCTGCTTTGTGCTCTCATCTTCCTGCCTGAGACTCCTGCTTTTCCAGTACAACTCAGACAAGAATCATGGATCAGCATAGACCTGGAGAAAGTCAAGGTATGTTACATGGGGAGAAAAAAAAAACTACATTATGAATCATCTGATTTTTGATTCCATTTCTACATTCATTTCCTACTTGTTCATATTGTCCTTGTCTCACATTACAACAGTTTTTGCAGGTCTGATATAAATAAACTCGCTGACTAGCTTAAACCTCTGAAGACGGACATAAAAAAGAGACCAAGTTCCAACTGACAAATAAAAGGGAGCATGTAATTTTGAATATATGTCCAAAATGTTATGTGTACTGTGTTAGAAGGCTGTAGGTTTGAATGCCCAGCAAATTGTGGTTACTTGACAGGATTTCTTACAGTGCTTCATTGCTGTTACAATTCCTTTTATATATGCTGATCTCTACTACTGAGAGAGCAGAATTTGGTAAATTGAAGTGGAAAGATACAGCTAAAACTAGACATGGATGAGGCAGGATGATGAAGCAACTCAAACAAATGGAAAATGCAATTACCAAAATAACACAGATATATGTATTAATCTTTATTTTCCCTCTCTTCTTCCAGAGATACCTTGATACATTCTTTCCAATTTTGTCCAAAACACAAAACCTAAGCATAGAAGAAAGGATTAAAGAAATGCAGAAGTTTTTCCACCTGACTGTAACTGGAAAATTAGACAAAGAAACTGAAGAAATAATGACAAAGCCCAGATGTGGTATGCCTGATGTAGCAGAATACCAAACATTTCCTGGAACTCCAAGATGGGAAAAGAAACATTTAACTTACAAGTAAGTGATGTTTCAAGTTTTCTGGGGAAAGGGATTGCTCTGCATTTAACTAGGTGGGTCTCCTTCACAGCCTAAATGAAATTAACCTGTTTTTCTTTGCCAACAGGATTCTCAGTTATACACAAGACCTACCCAGAAGGAAAGTGGATGAGGCAATTAGAAGGGCCTTGATGGTATGGAGTGATGTGACTCCACTGCAATTCCGAAGAGTTGACATGGGCCGGGCAGACATTGAGATTAGATTTGCACGTCGTGGTGAGAATACCTGTCCCTTTTAACATACAATGGTCCATATTTTACTCAAAGCATGCATTCTTATAGCCATAGCTTTAAGAAAGAACAAAGAGCTGGGAATTAAATCAAAGTCGGCAGAAATTTCATCTTCTTTATATCATGCCAAGAAATTTCTATGTCATTAGTCAGTTTTACTCATATAAAAAAGAAAAATCCTTTCAGAGTCACAGCCGTGAAGGGAGAATTCTGCTCCAGAATGAGACACTTAAAGTTAGGTGTTCAAGGCTCTTTTGGCCTTGATAAAATGTGCAAACTACTGAGAAGAGCTCTGCAGAACAAATCAGCAGGTTCTGAAGACCCAGCTTCCACAGGCTGCATTCAAGCAGCTTAAGTCAGGTCTACTTAGGCCTAGATATATCCTGGTTCCCAGAATAAACACATTTGGTGTTTATTGGGTGCATTATGTTTGGCCATAGAAAGTCTCTTCTGGTAGATTTGCTTCTAGAAGGAATTGTCTGTTGCACTCCAAGACTGCACCAAGGTGCAACAGCCAAAGTGTGGAAAGTGGGGTGAGCAGAAGTCACGTCAGAAATCCGTCTGTGATCTGGAGTAGTCTATGGACATAGCCCTACCTTGAACAGCCTGGCATGCAAACGGAGAGCTTAGACGAACTAAATGCCGACTTTAAGATCTGGGGAAAAGGACACAGGATGGCATCTCATTTCCCAACTACTCCTCAGTAAAGCCAGAGACACCATGAGGGAGACAGAAATTTTCCAAGTTGGTTCAACTCTGATCCAGTTCTTGAGCTTGAGGCATTAATCAGTAAAATTCCTCTTGCACTATGACAGAAGTAGATAATAGACCATACCTCATGGCTGGGATTAAATGAATTTATCACTTCAGAAACATGGTTATCTATCCAAAATCACCATCCACACTGAAATCAGTGCAAGAGAGAATGTCTGCAACTAATATTGCCCAGCACTTTTCAACATCAAACACATTTAGACATTAACGACAGTGTTGTCAAGCATTAACTGTTTATTCTGAAATCATCCCTGATTGCAGCCTCAGGACCACAGTTCTGACAAAAGCACAGGGAAAATATATTCAGCTCTTCCTGAAACATGCAGCAGGCCAAACTATCAAAGACAAGATTTGAACTTAAGTCATTAATTTGGAGAGTGTTTCCCTAAGCCTCACTTCTCATTTTCACAACCTTGCTGCCATTGTAAGATATTTTTAAAGACTGGCAACCAGCAAAACTAGCACAAACCAACAGCATGCTTCTACTTGCTTAAGTTACATATGTCAACTGATCTCATCTGATGACATTGATTTATCTCAAATGCAGAGCATGGTGATGGATCTCCTTTTGATGGAAGAGGTGGCACGCTGGCCCATGCGTTTGCACCTGGAGAAGGGATTGGTGGAGATGCTCATTTTGATGATGATGAAAAATGGTCAGATGTCAATCAAGGTAAAGCTCACTTGTGTAGATGAAAGGGGAAGACAAATATTGTACATGTTGGAAGAACACAGCCACAGGAACTGCTTTCCATTACTCTTCATCCTTCAGTGCTGTGCTACTTCATTACTAACATTTCTATCCTTTTCAACTAACTTTATAACTACTAGGGCTTCATTACCATAAGCACCTACATAATGTCTGTCCTGTCCACAATTTAAAGCACTTTTTGCAGGCTAAAGAAGAACTGTGAGACCCTGTTTCCTACATAAATTCTGAACAGGTAAATTGATTTGCTTCTAGGAATGAAGTTGACCATATGCAAGGACTCAGTATATTTTTAATAAAATATTACCATAATATATGAAAGCTTAACGATAATGGATCAAAATCATGGGATTTCATTCCAAGATGGATTGAAATATACAAATTCTCCTGCACTTTCAATGAATTGTATTTTAAAAAGTAATGCCATACCTTCAACATCCATTTATGTGTTTCTATGTTGCAGATGTCAATTTGTTCCTCGTTGCTGCTCATGAATTTGGCCATTCTTTGGGACTTGCTCATTCCAATGTCCGTGGAGCTCTGATGTACCCACTCTACTCATATCAGAACCCACAAACCTTCAGACTTCCAGCAGATGACAGGAGAGGAATTCAGAAGTTATACGGTAAACTCATGATTAAATTTGATTTCCAAGACAAAGCCGCCTGGGTACAGCTTTCACTCTCCCTGATTGCTAGGGCCTCATCAAATTACCAAAAAGAAAGAAAGTGAACAAACTTGGGAAAACCCAACTCCTGCATACGCTGTCCACTCACTGTGTTGCCCCTGCAGCCTGTTCCCACTGCAACCAGGAGCTGACAAAGCAACAGTGCATGGCCTGCTGCTCTGTCCTCCCACGCACCTGCATTCTGCCAAGAAAATCCTGTGGCCCTTGCTCTGCAAATGAGCTCTTCCAGTGAGTGGTGCTCCTGGCAGGAAAGGAGAGGTACTGTGCCACCCACCAAGTTCAGTAAAGGCAGAAACTCCTCAGCAACAAGGGAACATAACTAGAATTGACCCCACAGGACAGAATTTGTCAGGTTTGCTTTTCTTGGGGCACTGCCCAACTCAGGGCATGCTAGAGGAACACCAGGAATGAAACACAGTTGTCTGCATTGGCAATTTTCAGTAGGGTCTCAATGTTTTGTGCTTCTCTTCCACAGGGAAAAAGCCATCAAACTCTTGAAGAAAGTGCTTAATGATGATCAAAGAGTTCACATCTCATTGTTTTGGTCTACCAAAACAGTTTTGGTCCTCCAACTAATTAAGATGGTAAACTCCCTCGGCTGCACTTTCTCTTCCAGATTTTTATGTTGATTTATTTGCACTTTACACAATTTCACTTAACAAAAATAATAATAAAAAATTGTATACTCTGTTTTCTAAGGTTTTCTTTTTTTCTTCTGGCATTTCACTGATGGATTAAGCTACTCCTGCGTGCATGATAGACAGTCAGACAAGTATCTTTGTTAATAGGTTTATAGGCACCTAAAGAGCCCTTGTGCATTGACTGATGTCAGAACAGAACAGGGTTTGTCCTTACATCAGTGGCTTGCTTTCAATTCCCCTGGCATGTCCTGCCACTTCACAGTATTGACTCCTCAAAATCAGTGAGCATCTCATATGGCTCTCACATACAGGAGGTCTCCACAGTGCTTCCTTCAGTATGGGCTGATAAGTTTTCCCAAAGCGAAAAGCTTTTCTTCATCATCATGTCCTCTCTGACTTTCCAGAGAAGCAGGTTTGAGAGGCAGTGGACTGGGATTCCTGTTAGCCTCTGTGATAGTCAAGCTTCCTTGAGTGTTTTTAAAAAAAAAAAAAAAAAAAACCGAAAAAAACCCAACAAAAAAATAGAAAAAAACCAGAGATGCTCCCAAGCACATTCAAAGTCTTCAAAATACAAAATACGCAAGGTAGAAGGTGTATTTATTTCCAACAGATGGCTCCCTGTGCACAGAGATGAGGAGCACAAACACCAGCTCAGTGCCACTGCCAGCATCTTCACCATCTCCTAAACCAGTGTTACCCAGTACAAGGAATGACCTTAAGCCAGCCCCCAGAGGTGACACAGCACAGCAGAGAATGTGCTGCTTACACAACAAAACTCAGAGAACACACAACACCTCTGAGAGCAAATATACCAACACTTTGACCACTGACTATAGAACTAATACTGTGGATACTTATAAAAAATTTAGTTTAACATGCTCTGGTCAGATCTGTTTTTATCTCAATCCTTCCTTCCTCGTGTTGTGTGGTCCAAAAAGGACTGACACTGTTCAACCCTACAGGTAACCAAACACCACACTCACTATGCATCCTCAGTGGGATGGGAGAGAAGTGCAGAAAAAAAGGTAAAATGCAGGGGCGGAGGCAAAGACAATTCAGTAAGACAGAAAAGGAAGGGGAAATAACAATAAATAACAAACACAAGAAGAAAAGAAAGAAGAAAGAAGGAAGAAAGAAGAAGGAAGAACGAAGAAGAGAAGAAGGAAAAAAGAAGAAAGAAGAAGAAGAAGGAAGAACGAAGAGAAGAAGGAAAAAAGAAGAAGAAGAAAGAAGAAGAAGAAAGAAGAAGAAAGAAGAAGAAGAAGAAAGAAGAAGAAAGAAGGGAATACGATCTCAGCAAAATAAAATTAATGTCATCAGCAGCCTTAGTAATGCTTAGTAAAGCTGTTACATATAAATGTTCGTAGATATGTGATGGGAATGACCTGCGGAGCTACAAAAAGTGTCAGTATGCCCTGCCCCAGTGATGGCCTCTTGAATTTTTCTTCACAGTGTAAACTGCAAATTTAATCCGAAATCTTTAATCTTCAAATTTAAAGCATTTGAAGATGCCTTTTCCTTTTTTGTTTTTTATGAAATTACTACCTTCTACAAAACCTGCCTCAAACAGGATGCTCTTAATGGCCCTCATTAAGGTGTTTTCAGTTTCCAAAATGCCACTATGAAGTAGCACCATTGACATCAATGGAATTATTTGGGATTTATCTGTTAGAGTAAAAATTTTAGCAAAGAGCTTTAGAAAATATTATCTGTTTTGGCTATTTTTACAGCAGGAACCACCACAAGCCAGAGAGCTACAGGTAATCACTCTTTGCTGAAGAAGGCTGAGGAAAATTATTAAGGGGTGAAAATTGTTACTGTCTTCTGTCAGCCCTAAAGTTTACCGAGAATAAAACAGGAACCATAGAGAGAAGCAGCAGGCTGCACAGGTATATAGAAAAATATGGAAGTCTATACACATCAGGAAAATAGAAAAGATTAGAGGTCTTCTATTTGGCCACATGAAATGATCTGACAGAGCTGCTGTACTGTGGGCAGTGAGAGAGCAGGATTTCTTGCATTTCAAAAAGAAACACACTCCCAGTAAAACCTTGTGGAAGATTTTCAAAGAAGAAGGAGGTACATTTTTACATAGTGAGCAATTCAGTTATGGAATTCATTAACACATAATATTCAATGACAGTGGTGACCCACATTCATACATGGAATTTGGAAGGCTTAGATATATTTTTGTAGCATAACAGCTACTAAGCATGAGGATATGGTGGGAAGTAGTGCCTCACGGTTTTGCTGAGTAGCAAAGGAAGGATCCATCTAAATTGACCCAGTTGTGCTAACATTGCAAGATTTTCTATAGGGAAAAGGAAGCACCTTGTCTGCTAAGGCTGGTTAAGGAGTGCAACATTTCAGTGACTGCCTCACATTAGATCACCTGGATCTACTTATCTACCAAGATTTCAAGTTCTTTTCTTGGAAATCACTTGGGACAGAACCACTGCCCAACACCGAAGCACACCACCCTGTTCCAAAGGCTATAATGAGGCTGAAAGGGATCTGTGGTACTGCTGTGGGCTTTCTCTAGATGAGTTCTTGCCTCAAAGCAGAGATATCTAGGAGCAAAGTAAGGCGGTGCCAAAAAAGCAGTTTGCATTCAACACCAATGGACAGAGTTCAGGCATGAGTTACAGAATACAGTATGAGTAAGCATCCTCACAGGAATGCCAAGAGCATGATAATGCCTTTCCATTAACTGCTGTTTGTGCAAAAATCCTGAAGGTAAAACCGAATCTCTAATGTTAAATATCTTTTATTTTCAATTACAGGACAGCATGGTAGTGTCCTGAATGCATACTACTTTAGACAATAAATTCACTCCAAGTTCAACCTGTACTCTGAAATCAATGGTTCCCAAACTAAAAATCAATTTGTGCATTACAAATATGAGATTTATAAAAGATCAAAAACAATGTTCTTGTCATTTGTGACCGGACATAGGATGAGGAACAGCCTGAATCAGTACTGTGTCATCTTTCCTTAAAAGTAATCACTTTCATTGTAATCATAGCATTTATGCCTAACAGAGCCTTTCTTTCTCAGGATGGTTACAACTCACAGCAGTTAAGGATGAAAGGGAAAAGTATTGCAAAATACACTAAAAGATTTCCTAGTGTTACTTTAATGCTCCCAATGCTGCTCTATTTTTGAATATTTGGGGGAATATGCAGTATGAACTGACATTGCTTTGAAGTAGAAAAATATACAATAATGGTGATGTTGTTGGTAACTTGGCTCAGCAGAGAGATTTTTGCCTCAAAATTCCTGTAATATTTTCTAGGGGTTCCAAATATGAATGGAAAGAGCAGTAGAAGAGGTGGGAAAGAATCATAATGAGCTGAATTTATCTTTTTTTCTCTGGTTATGTTATTTTCTTCATTCCTACCTTCATTGCCAGAAACAGGAATAAGGATTGATTCTTTGCATAAAAAATATTAAGGCTTTTACCTCCTGGGAGCAAAAAGTTAGGTAATAATTTGAGAAGAAGTCAAAATGCTGGCACTACTCTAATATTGGCACAATTTTCTTTTAAGTGTGCCTTGACTTTGCAAATAAAACAAAACCACTAGGAGTTCTCCTTGAGATAATTTTCCAAACCATTAGGTGATCATCCAGTCCTGATTCAAAAATATATAATTTTAATTTAGCAGTGAGTAGAATACTTTATGATAATAAGAAATATGATCAAGGAAAAAAACACTTTTCTTTTTCATGTTTGCTATGGCTATGAAGCAGAATGTTTGTATCATATCACTATCAGGCTGCTTCCATAGTTCCAATAGCTCAGAGTTCATACACACTGCAAATCAAAGAGGATGGATGATTAATGGTCAGTACTTCCCACTGAGCTATTTCCTCCCACAATATCATGTCTACAATGCAGAAATGTGGATGTGGGATGCTCTGTACACAGTCCCTCTATGTAAAATAAGGAATGAGATCACCTATTTGGAAGTGTCTGCCAGCTGTGCAGATCTAAGCTGCTTGCCAGGTCAGCTCAATAATTTCTCCATGTTCTCTCATATAACCTTTAGAAAAGCCCACACAAATTCCACCCCCCATTACACTGCCCATCTTCATATTCTGGTTTAACACTGGGTTTCAACAAAAAGATGCTTAGGAATCCAGCACACCTATCACTTAATGCACTAATCCTAAGCTTTGCACGCTGTCAACCTGAAATTTTTATTACCCTGCTATCTCTTAGCTCTTATTTCTGTTGTAAATCTTTCAGCTGTTAGCTGTGCTTTCGTCATGTTTGTATGGTACCTAAAATGATTTGCCCTCTGTTCTGTTTGTTTGGCCTCCTTGCTATTACAGAAGAGGAAGCAGTAAAAAATAATATTCACCCCTTTCTCACAAATTAATTACATGTTAGAAGTAGTACCTTGGCACTAGTTTATTTAGCAAACTAAAAAATCAGCAAGAACTTCAGTGTGAATACCTTGGAAGTGCCTGATCAGGCCAAACACATTGATTTTAAAAGGATCCTGTATCCAGAGTATTTTTATCAACCTGACTGACATTCCTCCAGACACCTGTAGCTTCTGCACTTCACATGAAAAATGCTGCCACTATATCTATTTGAATAAAATATATTGCAGTGCAACCTACTCATCCATTCTGAGAATACCACAGTTTTTTCACATCTTTAATCCCACTTATTACTCATGAGATCAAAGTTCTATTTTACCAAACAATGCACTGAACCTGCATGAAAGTAACCAGAAGTTTTATAAATCAAGTCTTAAGTGCCTAAATGCATTTTTTATGTCAAGCAGTAATTTAAAGAGTTGAAAAAGAAACATCACCTGGTAATTTGTGCCATCAGAGGAGTACAAA